CGGGCCGAGCTAGCGTGGGTTTTGTTGACACCCCTAATTTTACATTATAGTCTTCACTGCTTATTTTCCATGTAGTTACTTAAATGTATTTGTAAACAGCAAAAATTTTGAGCCAAATAGATAATTCGGCTTAAATATTTCAGCGCCTGACAATTTTTATTGGCAAGCATAATTGTCTGATCAAATTAGGACATGAACTCACAGCAGAAGCATAAAATTTGAACGAAGATATCGTTCGATTGCAGGAACAAAATCAAATTAGCATTTATTCATATCAAATATAAAATGGAGTTGTTATTTGATTAAATCAAAGTATATGGATCAAAATTCCAATTGTCAATAGACAATCATAATTTGACCAATCAAGAGCAATCACGAGGATCAAAAACTCCTCTCATCATCTCTATGAATAAGAGGCCTCTCCAGAAATGCAGGCATTTAAAATATGTGAAGTTGCTTGAAGAAGTTCTTGAAAATTAAAGAACTTCAATAACAAGACACCGTGTCGGACCTTACTAGATGTTCGGGTCATCAAAACCTCCACCATCTTATATTTGATATTAAGCGAAGCGTTCAAGTCCTCTAAATCCAATTCGCGCATGAATAATTGTGTTATCTAATTCGAGATCAAGCCACTGGTACCCCTAACTTGTGCTGACAAGAAAGATAAAAGATAGGGATCTTTTTATCCGGCATTAACGTTGACCAGATGCATCCAAAGTACCTTTTATCAAGATCAATGTAATTGTATGTAAACCTAGAACAATCGCAAGATGAACCAACAAGTCTTTAGGACCACTTGCTAAGAATAGTGAATTACTATTCTCATAAACAACATTTAACCAGTGGGCAACCATATGCTTTAACTTGCATTAAATGCTGGGCTATTCATTGAAAATAAAAGTACATCAAACCCATATGAAGTTTTACCATGAGCAGATTGTATCCATTGGGCAATTATAGGTTCGATTAAATTTAATTTGAGATCAAGCCATTAAGGCTCTCGAATTGCATTCAAATAAGAATTAAAGTTCGTCTTATTCGACGGGAAATCGAGTCATCTAAGCCCTCAGATGGTCTTTTCATTATTAAAAAAAAATGGGTTCTTTGTTTCATTTGGAAATTAGATATTGCACCCATGTAAAAAAGTAATACAAATTTGGCACACTTTTGCTTTGTTCTTCAAATTGTAGATTTATTTTTTTGCAGCATTATTGGATGGTATAAATTTTTCATTCAACAAATATCTTTAACCAAGAAAAGAAAAGAATAAATTGAATAAAAATACATAAGTTAAAATAAATTAAACCGCTTAACAAGAAAAAAGGCAAAAGTGGAACGAATGAAATACATATGTTCTTGACAAATAAACTATTACTATTTAAATTGTAACTTATTTTGTTTAAATAATTCAACATAATACACGAAGAAGAAATTTACATTGAATAGAGAAATTCATTTAGTTTATTATTTTGATCATACCGTCAGAAATTTAATAAGTGAAAGATATAGGGTGATAAACCACCAAACTAATGTTCGATAGGGGTAATCTAATTTAGGGTGGGTCATTTCGTGGGAACCTCGGTTCCAAAAGATTGGAACAAGAACTGAACCAATTAGTTTTGGAACCACATGGTTCCTGAACTTGTTTGTTCAAAAAGTAAGAAATAAAAATAAGTGAAATATGAATGATCTGCTTTCTAACTAAACTGCGATTCGATCTTTTACTATTCGAATATTTTATTGCAAGTTCAAAATAAATATCAATGTTTATGTAATTTTAAAGTAATGGGAGTTAAATAGTCCGTCTAATATCCTCATATCTAACGAACCATGTTATGATTTAGCTATAATTTACTAAGCTTACTTTATTTCTGTAAGTGTATTTATATATTCACTGTGAACTTTCTACTGAGTTAAATCAAATTACTCGAAGAAATGTTGTATTTTTTAGCAGATTACGATTGGACGAGGCTAAATACGCTTCGGTTTCGATGGGGTATATGAAGGGCCGAATTGCACGCTACTAAATGGTTTTTGTTGTGCTCATGGGCCTCGACTAACACTAATGGGCCCAAACACCATCTCCTTGGGCCAACAATGCCATTCCTGTACATCCTTCGGTTATGAAAGGGATGGGCTCCACAAGGCCCATAAGCTCCTCTTCTTAGTCAGCTTTAGGGCCCACTGAATTTATAGCCTCGTTTTTTTTTTTTAGTTCGAATTATAGCCTCTTTGATAAGGCGATGATTTCTTTTTATAGCCTCTTCGAATTATAGCCTCTTAAAAGGCTTAGAATCTCCCTTCGGTTTTTAGGAATGTAAAAACCCTAAGGGGATATTCTAGTCCTCCCATTAGAAGAAAAATAATCTTGGAAGGGACAAGAGGTGTTAAGGTAGACCGATCGCTGGGTCATTAAATAAGGCGTTGTTCGAAAGAAAAAGATGAGAAGGGACATACATACCGGTGTAGTTACCCCTCTGGACTATACCATAAGAAGAATCGCATTCTTGACCCATATTCACTCTGTCTGCTCAGAATCTAAAGGTCCAAAATTGACGGGCCTGTAACCACAGCTCCATCGACAACGTCAAAAGTTAGGAAATCTCTCTACATAATATATCACGTGCTCGAAGCATAAACTGTCAAATATGTACCAATTACATGGCTTGAACTTGTATTTGTGTGTTTGTGTTCGTGTTCGACGAGGTGGCCAAACGGTCATGGATTTTTTTTCTTTTCTTTGTTGTTCTTTTACGGTTTCGGTTCTTATTTTTGGCTATTTCCCAAAAAGCAGAAAAGTTAAATAACCCATCGTTTGAAATAAGCTTAGGTGCATTCAATGATAGATTTGATATGATGGACTTCATCCTACTATATAGCTGTGATATTCTGACATTTGTGTGCAAGTATGGGAATATCATTAACGAATATGTTGTAGGTTGAGTATCAACAGATCCATGGTCTTTTTAGCTTTTGCTGCGACTTTTCTGGCAGCTCTTGGGAGTTCTTAATTTTGGGTCAGCTTCTGAGTGAAGAAGCGTCATGTGAAGTTGAGATTACAAACTCTAAAAAAGTAGAGTGTTTTTTTTTTTGTCGACCAAAAAAGTAGAGTTAGGGAGGGAAGCTTTTGCTATGGATGTTGAGAGATCCAATCATTGTCATACCCTATGCTGTAAGCATCTAGCCGCATCCATGTCTATATTCTCATGCATACGAAACACGAATTCAACCCAAAACGCGGGCCATGTTCATGAGCTTCTAGGTTTATTTAGGTTCCGACATAAGGTCTAGCTTTAGTATTGGGGCTTGAGAAAACCCCCATCTTAGACCAAGGGGACCACAAAAAAGACACCCCTACTTCATGTTGCTCTATGTATATATCAAGATGTAGCCCACCTTTCTACTTCTGGTTCTTTCGAACGGATAAAGGAGATATCAATAAGATCATGAAATCTGATGGATAGAAATTAAGCAGCAAATGTAAGCATGATGTCGTGCTTAACGATAATCTACGCGTGCATCGTTTAGTTAGACAATAAATTACTGCATAACAACGTTAAAGATTGTTGTTTTTGGCGAACAAGTTCGTATTCTTGACTGTGCTTCTTGCTCGCAAACTTACCAAAGGCCCGGAATGTAACATTTTGATCGATGCGATGTGCATAAAACATTATGATCCTCGCTTTCTTGTAACGCCAATCGTGCGTAGAAAAACTTGCATGGTCGACTTCATTTGAGGGATAGATTCAGAATATTTTTTTTTGTAACGGGGACGACTTTAATAATTAATTATAAGTTCAAGCAGTCAAATACAGTCCCTTTCTTTTGTACATAGAAACAAGCTTGATAATTTAAATATCGTCAAACGAGGTTAGTTTGATCATAAGTCTATCGCTTCATGGGACTCCTACTTCACGATAGGTTTGGCATGATTATGTATAAGTGATTCTAATTGCCACTTCTTATTATATGCAATATTTAGAACTTATCACTTTAAGTCAATACTTAAAGCGTACAATTAGACTTTCTAACATATATCGCCGCTTTAGCAAGTGAGTTATATAAATTTTCTCAAAGAAATTAGAGCGAGACTATTACTTAAAATTTCGTTGTTTAGGCAATTAATGTAGTTGAACGGCGTGTATGTATAAATTTGAATAAATATATAAAAAAATGAATCGAGAGTTGCCTCATAAGAGAAAATGATTACTTTTTGTGAGGAGAAAATTCGCGAGGGTAGTTAGTGGAATAACTAACTCGACGCTTTTTTAGTGAAGTATACAAGTGTTTAAGTTGTGGAAAGTAATTCTTTCTAAAATTCGCGAGACTAATTTACTATATGCTAAGTTGTGAATAGAAAGAAAATTAGTCTCATGTTTTGGCTTAGCATATAAAAGATGATTAAGCACAGTGCCTTGTAATCAGGGGTACTTGGTTGGTAAGTCGGTTACAAGACATTGTGTAAAGTACAGGTCAACTAAGAAGGAGCCGAAACTCCCCGACATCACCCTAAGCACGGGAGACCACTATATCTGCCTATCCGGTGGTAGCCAGCCGAAGCTGACGCGGAATTGACCTTCTCTACTTGGGCCCTCCCGTTTTTTTCTTCCCGGAAAAGAAAGAATATGGAGATAACTTATAGGGAGATCCCTCCACCATACCGGGGAGATTTTTCATCCCGTCTCTCCTTGAGCCTTTTAAGGACTTTGCTCAGGTCCAGATTCATCTTTTCGGGGCTCCTTTTTTCAGGTTCCGCAATAATTATATTTATCTAAACACACCTTAAAAAACCAAGAAAAGGAAAAGAAGAAAAAAAGGAGTGGGAATGAATGAATGAATGAAGGAAAGGGAAAGATTGAGAGAAAACTACACACATTTGACAAAAGGAAAATCTCTTCCGTCTCGTGCTTTCGCCCATCGCTCGCTCGCTCGCTCGCACGCACACGCACTTGGGGAGAGACCCTTTCGCTTTTGTCCTTTGATGTTGCGACTTCCTTCCCATCAAAAGGCCTTTCCTTTCGTGCTTCCACGACGCTCCCCGTTTTTATCTTCCCCTTAAACATGATCGTCGTCGTACACTCCAGTCAATGCTCTTTCTTCGATCTCTCTCTCTCTCTCTCTCTCTCTCTCACTACCCATCGTTCCTTTGTTCCCCCGTTTGCCCTTTCGGACAAAATCCCACTCCGTGTCCGCTTCCGTTCGAGCCTTTAGCCGGAGGATCTCGTGCGCTTGATGTGCGTGTGTGATCCATTCGCAATACCCACGAAGCAAATTCTCGAGCTGAGCTCGAACTCCGTGAGAGGCTCGGAGATGATGGCGTCGCTGTAGCGGTGGCAGCAGCAGCTGCTGCGAGCGAAAGCAAGCGCTTTTCTTTGTTTCGTTTTTTTTTTTTTTTTTTTTGTGCTGTTGCGCGGATAAGAAGGACGTGCTGTGATTGCACTTCGATAGAAGCGAGTCTGTGAGTCGAGTTACCCGAGTGGCTGAGCGGGGGAGTGGGATGGGTTCCGAGCAGATTAGAATTCCTCAGCAGCAGCAAGAACGGGTACGTACGTTTGAGAATTCCTCTTCTTTTTGAGAAAGTTGATGTCTTTTTCATTCGTTTGTTGTCGCGGCATTGCATTGGCTATCTGGGTCAGATCTGGGTTGGGTTTTTCTTTGGGGTGCTTGATTTTGCTCATTGTTTTACGGGTCCAAGCATGTGCAATGTTCCCTTAGATCTAGTTCTCAGACTATTGAGTAGATACTTCAGAAAAACGCTAAGAAGTGATTGAAAGATGGATTTTACAGCTGCTAGAAGTAAAGTTGAGACGAAATGTTCGCTTAGTTTTCTTTATTCGCCTGTCCTTTCTTTTTCATGAAGAAATTGCTTTGTGGGTATAACATGGGTATGCCTCTTAGTCTTGATGAAGACGTAGTATGAATCAGATATCAACTCCTGTTGTCGAATTTTATCTTCAGATCCAGTGAAATAGGCCACTTGGGTAAGAAATTGGAGTTGGGCACTGCTGTTTTTATGGAACGCAACGCACAAATAGTCGGAGTTTTTTTTTTTTATCTTATCTAATTGCAAGTTTATTGATTTTGAACTTGTGAGTATATACAGTTCCTTAGATAGCAACACCTTCACGGTCAAAGTTTATGTTGAACTTGTTCCTTTTTTGGGCAATGATCGAGTTGGGCTGTCAAAGTCAACTGATGATGTGAATTCTATGGACCCCTTAAGGAGTTAAAACATATTGTCATTCAGCTTCTATCCAGCCTCTGTTTTTTTATTTTTTATTTTATTTATAGACATGAAGGTTACTTCAAAGCATGGGTGTGGTCGGTAGAAAAGCTGCTTCTTGTTGTTATGTGAAGCTTCTTATAAAACCTTTCGTAAGAGCTGAGATTCTACGGGAGAAGTTCTGACTGCCTCTAGTTAAAATTGTGCATTATTAAGCAGCAAGAGTAGCAACATTTTTCCAATATTGGAAGGTTTTTTAATATTAATCTTGTTAATTTATGAACTTCTGATCCACTACAGGATATATCTGTACTTGATGTTTATGAATGAGGATATAGCACTAATAATGAAATTTTTAACAGAATGTGTCGTTCAAGATATTTTGGAAAGCAAATTATTTTCTAATTCCCCGCAAAGTTCATTGAGAAAATCTTCAGCGCCTGTCTCACTACAAGCTATATACATCTAGACTTGTCATAAATTTATTTGATAAATGCTTTTGCGTATCATCTTTCTAATCGTAAGGTTATCTCTGAAATCTTCATTTTATGTACCTTTTTTCTTTTGACATGTCACTTTTGACCTGGCATGGCAATAGTCATATCATTCTAGTACTGCCTGTGGCAGCAGCACCTTTTCACATGTCGAAAAAACTCTCAAGTCCATTACTGCTCATGTTCTTGAAGTATACTAACAAAAAGGTTCTTGTCAATTCGCAAGACAAACCTCGTCAGGTCTTATACTTAAAGCAGAGCCTACTTTAGTAACAGAAGGAAACTCTTTAGAGTTGGCCCTTCTTTCCTCTGCATTGCTTTCTGTTTTCTTTAATTCGGAATATATTGATGTCGAGAAATCTGAGATACTTAATTTCTGACATATTGAACAGAGAAAGAGATGGGGAGGATGCCTTGGTGCTTTTTCTTGTTTTAGTTCTCAGAAAGGTGGAAAACGTATAGTTCCTGCATCTCGTAGTCCAGAGGGAAATGCTGCAGCAAACCAGCCAAACAGACCTCAAGCCATTGGGTTGGCTAACCAAACAGCACTAGTTCCCTCTCTTCTTGCACCTCCTTCTTCACCAGCATCCTTTACAAACTCTGCTCTTCCTTCAACAGCTCAATCACCTAGTTGTTTCTTGTCTTTATCAGCCAACTCACCTGGTGGCCCTTCATCCGCAATGTTTGCCACGGGGCCCTATGCTCACGAAACACAACTTGTTTCTCCTCCAGTTTTCTCAACCTTCACAACTGAGCCATCAACTGCTCCTCTCACTCCTCCGCCAGAGTTGGCCCATTTAACCACACCCTCCTCACCGGATGTTCCTTACGCGCAGTTTCTTTCATCTTCAAGGGGCCTCAAAGGTGCCGATAGGAGCAGTTACCTTGCTGGGAATGATCTTCAGGCGAATTATCCACTTTACGCTGGAAGTCCTTCCAGTAGTCTGCGATCACCCATTTCGAGGATATCCAGTGGTGGGTTATCATCATCTTTTCTAGAAAGGGAGTTCCCTCCGCAGTGGGACCCATTGGCTTCTCCTCGAAGTGGGAAGTATCAAGGGAGTGGTTCTGACCGGTTATACGGGCATGACAATCCAAGCGCCTCTGCAGCCACTCACGATACTAATTTCTTCTGCCCAGCTACATTTGCTGAATTTTATCTTGATCGTAATCCTCCGTTCCCTCATACTGGTGGCAGATTAAGTGTTTCTAAGGATTCAGATGTCGCTTATAATGGCAGCAGTGGATACCAGAATCGGCAAAACAATAGAAGTCCCATGCAGGATGCTGACGAAATGGAAGCTTATAGAGCATCCTTTGGGTTCAGTGCAGATGAAATGATTACCACGAACCAGTATGTGGAGATTTCTGATCCAATGGACGATTCCTTCAGCATGACTCCTTTTGCCTCCAATAAATCTTCTACTGGGGAGACTCTACAGCCTGTTTTGGTAGGTGAAGAACAAAAGGCAGAGAAATCACATGTCACATTGCTAACTTCAAGAAGTCTTGGAGTTGAACGAGATCCCTTTACCAGAGATGCACGCTTTGAAGTGTCATCTTCTTGCAATAATCATACAGGTGAAGTCACTGTTCTTACGTTACAATATCCTTCATTTCTCATGCCATCTGTGTCAGCTAAAGTTCGTCCAGTAAGGCATAGTCTTAGATGGGGCTACTCTTCCATACCATTTAGTTTGGAGAATCTTAATGAATGAATGTTGCAAAGTTTTGGTTAACAAACGTAAAATTGAACTGTTTTCATTTTTCTGCGGGCCATGGGTTTACCTATACAAAAGCTTCCTTGTCATCTGTATCGAACGGATGTACTGTAAAAGTGTTCCCAACTCATCGTTCTTCCAGTAAGGCATAGTCTTAGATGGGGCTGCTCTTTCATTTGATTTGTTTGGAGAATCTTAATAAAAAAAATGTTACAAATTTTGTTAAAAAAAAGTAATATTGAGCTGTATTCATTTTTCTATGGGCCATGTGTTTACGTACCCAAATGCTTCCTTGTCATCTGTATCAGTATGGATATACTGTAAAGGTGTTACCATCTCATCTAGATTAGGTGGAAACCCAATATTCCATGATCTGGCTGCTTACACTCTGTAAGAAGGCAACAACCTGCCATTTGTTTGTAAAACACTGAAGGAATTTTTTGGTTCTGAGTCATGACATGCATTAGGTGAGCAAGGATAGTTATAAGTCATGTTGTATGGTGAACTCAACAGATTGCGAAGAAATGTTGCTTCTGGACATGAAAGCAACCGTGTCCAATTCATGATGTCCTTTTTAATGTCAGTTGAACTTGGTCAGAGTCCAACTAATTGCAAGAATCCATGTTGTATATTTAGCTTTGCCGATGGAACGATCTTCATGTAACATTAGCTCTTATGTTCTTCTTGTACCCATAGATACACCTGCAATTTTTAACGCCTTCCCCTCGTTTATCTCAGAACGGAAACAGTGGAAGCCAAGCTCGGATGCATCTGGATTGAGTACGCCCATTAACCACACAGACGATGAGAATATTCTTTGGAGGATGCGATCATCCAGAAGTTGTCGAAAGTACTATTCAGGTTTGTCTAGCTCGGATGCTGAGATCGAGTATAGGAGAGGAAGAAGCTTAAGAGAAGGAAGAAGAGATTTAGCATGGCGTCGCTGATGACTGAGCTTCAAGATATTTGCTGCTCATAGTTAACTAGTGTCAAGATTTTAGGCTTCTTTTGTCACTTGATTCTCTTTGGGATTCTTGCATTGGTAGGTGGAATGCTCCGACCTCTGTCTCTTGTGCTTGATCTTATTTCTGTGCGCGCGCTCTATATGATTCGCTAGTTTATCTTCTGTACAAGTTACATAGGGATGCATCAGATGATACATATTTTGTCAAGTTGTGATGTAAGTGCACAAAAACATGTTAATTTGCATCTCTTGGCTCAAATCTTAGTGTTAGTCTGGCCGAGAGCAAAGATCATTTGCTCTAATAACCTTCTTTTGTTTTTTTATTTGTGGCTTTCAAATCCTGTATTCAATCTCTTTTACTATATCTGGTGTTTGGCTATCTGAAAGCACTCCTCCAATGAGTACTCGTTTCTTCTGTTTCTTGGGGGCTTTGTGACAAAAAGTCCCACAATATAAGTATCGGGTATTCTTCATGATGTGCCCAATGAATATCTGCATTCTAGTTATTGATTGCTGCCTATGTTTTATCTCAACATAAAGTCCTGTTGCTTGTGTTTCTGTTCACGGGAACATGCAGACTGTCATGAAGATAAATTGGCTTGATCCTGACTCAGTCTCTGTGCCGAAACTTTTCCTGCCGATTGATTTACTGAGTTGAACCACTGGTTCTGCCTCAAATATCACTCGCATTTAACATGCTGGGCATATGCAATTATCAACTTTAGGGTCCATTTGTTTCACAAAATTTGATGCTACTACAAAACAAAGCTTTTCTTCTTTTACAAACCAACCCATCTCCAAGCATCAGAGCCTGGGTGCAGCTGCTGAGGGGCCGGGTGTACCGTTGGTGTAATGAGTGTGGTCATTGAGGTTTTCATTTCATCTTCCGCTTTCCAAATGGCTCGACCGACATGTGTGAACCATATGACATGATGGAGCTAGTTGAACTATAACAGCACACAGCACTCTCCTTGGGAAGGGGTGAGACTTGAGGATTGCAAGTGAGAAAAATTGCATTAAGCATACGAACAATACACCCAAAGAGCCAGATATGACCTTCATTCCCAAAAAGAGAAATAAAGGAAAAGAGAAATGCACCGCTCAGCCATAACGATCTTCCTATTGTTTATAAATTATACATCGTTTGACAAAATCAAATATAAGCTTTTTCTATGAAACTGCTAAGAATGGTGAGGGACCAACATGATTGAAGAAAACTAGATATAATCATCTAAATCCACACTATTGCGTGTTGCTTTGCACTTCAAACTCAGCCACGTCCAGACGGGCAGCACAGAGAAGCTTTTATGAACACTAGCGAGGGGCAAAAATTTGGTTATTGTGCCTTCCAATTAAAACACCACGATATCATCTCTTCTTCCTCCTGGCAGCTGTGCTCATCTGTAATGGAAGAAGTATACTATTACAGACACAAATGTCTGAATGCAGCGAGGTGGTGGCAGGGGAAAAAAATACTAGAGTAGCAACAATGGAGATCTCATATAAAGAAGATACATCATTGACTGAGCCATTTTCCATTAAATGATCTTCACTAAATGAATCCAGTAAGACATTTACTAGTTTCTGTACCATATCTCTTCAGATGCTAAGGAAAGAACTCATAAATGACGTAGCGTCTCCATATGTACATTGCCTAGTGAAAACACAAGGACTCGAACTGAAAGAGTATATAAAGGGAATTGTTGATCAGGTTATGGCAGAAGACACTCGAACTTAAAGGGTTGAATCACATCTCACGGGTGTGTAAACTGCGAGGGAACAGTCTAGGCAGTCAATGTAAAAATAAATGAAGGTTTAGTTTTAATCCTCCAAACAGCAAGCTTTGTAATATCAAACTTCAGAGGAATCTCATGGAAAAGGATTCTACATCTCTAATCAGCAAGAGAAGCAACATTCTAGTGGTTGACAGAAAAAGATTTACTTCCGGTTCATCTTCTTAAATAACTCCCGACAGTAGTCAAAGGTAAAGATTGGCACAGGAGTGGTCAGAGTTGTCTATAAGGTCATCTTTGGCCACCCTTTGTTTAATAATAGACCCTGAAGCTCCTCAATGTGACAGACTGAAACTGACTGAACTCTGTTTAATGTGGTCAAACTTTTAAGGTCAATCTTGTAATCATGTTCGTGAAAGATATAATACTAGCTACTCAAAAGGAATCTTCATCTGTAAAACACGTTAAGAATGACTCAAAGCATGCACTTCCAGGGCAAAATACCTGTCAATTCCATATGCACCAGTACATAACAATAACACAGTGTGGTGCAAGGTCATCATGTTGTCGGTCGTGTCATTGTAGATAAACCACGCCCCATGGGAATGACTCCGGGAAACTCTTCCTCAGATTCTCCCTCTTCTATCGGAGCTGCAAAAACGCAACATCAGTTTATCTCACAGACTAAATAAAATGCTAAAAGAAACATAGACAATTCAATGACTCTTAACCAGGCCAATGAAGTTAAGTGAACCTATGGCCGACCCAACCCCCAAAGTCTTCTTTCTCCTCAATGTCCACCAGATTAAATCCCCTCCTCCCCCCTTTCAGTCCCCAGGGAGGAAAAGAAAAAGAGGAAAAAACAGAGAGCCACAAGTGCCAGTACGGATGCTCGAGTGAGAATTACCACTGGGGCAAAAGGAAACAAAACATCCTCTTCTCTGCTAGATAAGGTTGCTCCAGAAAGTTAACTTTCATTTCGAGTCAATGAGCTATTTCATGTATTCATTTGCACAACTGAGGTCACATTTCTCGTTTTCAAGAAATCAAAGAAGCTGAAGGGTCTTGTCGAGCCTGCTCATATAATACCTAATTATATGGTATCTAAAAGTAATTGCATAATTCCACGATCTTCGATTCAACTAGGACTGTAGTTCCTGAATTTATAAGTGAATTAAGAGCGAGAAAAGGAACTTTTTCAATTGTTGACTCAAACTCACGGTCCAACCCCACTCTTATTTGGACCTGTTCACTCTGTGGTAGCTACTAACCAAGTAACTTTATATATGAATAGCATTAAAACGGCACATGAACAAAAGGATACCTCCCTAAGATCTTCACCAAGGAAATGCTAAAACAAATAAAAGGAGAGGGAACAAGACTGCTTACCGATAATTTCTTCTCCAGCCTGTGCCCCGGCAATCCCAATGCAAGAGTACAATGAACTTTCATCAATTTTCAACTGATCATACGCAAGGTATATGTCTTCTATAGTGGCAGCTTCATATAGTGAAGTAAGATCTCTGATGCATGATATGTCCTGGACCATGTGACCAAGGGAAAATATGTCAAATCACTATTTGCCTTCTTAGTTAGCTTAATGTGAATAAATCAGCACATTAATAATAATAAAAGCCAACCATTTGAAGATGTTGGACTGAAAATAATGATATAAAACGCCTTACCTTCCTTGGAACAGAAGAAGCTTGCAAGTGAGCCAACAATCCAAGCCAATAGGCATTGGACTTGATTTCCGCTTCATGTCTCATTAAAAGGGTCCGTTTTGCCTGCATCGGAAGCACAAATTGAATGAGCCAAAATGCCTTTACACTTGGACATCAATCTTACACTTTGAGAAATAACCATCTGTCTCATTGGTGTCTTCATGTACAATTACTATCTAGTGACAAATCATTTTTCTAAAACACTATGGGAATTCCCCTAGCCATCTCACCCTGTCCAACTCCCTCGGGGCAATCTTGTTGCTATGTAAACCTCTGAGTACATTCTTGCAAGCATCAACGGCTTTATGCACCTGATGTAGCGATCAGTAGTGGTTGTAAGGATACCACAATAAAGCAGCTCCAAAGCATCATATTTAGACAAATGGTTAGCTATCCCCATACCTTGGCCGGAGTTGATGTTACAGAGATAACATACCATCCAAGCTCAAGCCTATCAAACAGGTTTAATTCAAACGATACATCATATGTCAATCCAAGGGAGTCTCTGACAGTTGTGAACAGCCTGCATGAAGCAAAAGAAGCATTTTCAAATCACCCACAGATGTATTTAAAATCATCAGTGTGAAACATTGTAATCATAAACAAGAGTGACATACAAGAAATGTGAGAACATAGTCTAAAAGGATGGTTTTAACAATTACTGATGCACAAAAGTAATGCTTCCTGCCTATCACTTCATACTTAAGCCAGCCTAGCCACAGATCGTCAGAAGCAGTCACAAACAATAACTTAATGCTCCCTTACCAAAAAAAAACAATAACTTAATGCTCCAAGGTGGGCCAAATAAGCCAAAAATACCTATATTTGCATATACAGATTTCCATTAGAGATACCAATTTTTGCCTCCACAACAACAACCAAACTAAGTTCCTAAAAAAGTGAGCTTGGCTACATCCATTATATTACATCATTGGATTCAATTAACACTAGACCCTCCCTATTCTTCAAGTACTCCAATCTTTCTTCTAAAACAAGAGCAACCAAACTTGTGTTTTTTCACTGAGTGGTGCGGCTATTTTTTTTCGCCATCGTACTTGTCCAATACCAAATTCACTAAAATACCCCAGTTCTCGAAATATTTTTGAAGCGAAAAAATCTAGCATTTTTAGGTCTTTGACCATCCTTTTACTGTCATCTTCATCATAGGGTTGCATCTTGTTATCAAATCATATTTAAGCTATCTTTTCATCTGTCAAACCATGTCAAAAGAATTTCTCTCATCTTGACTTCAGTTAGAGCCAAACTATTTTTTGAATAGACTCAAAGTGGCTTGGAAAGTCTTACCTTGAATTAATTATCTCGGCCAATAGACCCATGGTGATGCCGAAGAAAAGCGGGTGACTCCTAAGTTTTCTCTGCATATCCTTAGCAACATCTTTCTCCGCAGATTCTTCCTCCGGGTGAGATTGTGCATCTGTGAAGAGCCACACCCAATTATAGTTAATGTCATTAACATGTAACAAGCTCCTCACTGAAGTTCCAAAGAAAAACATGAGAAATTCACTACTTTGTTGCAAGCAACTATAGAAGGGCAATACGGGAGTAACATTGTCAGAAAGAGAATATAATACATATCTTTAATAAATTATTCTAGAAGACTCAATAGCCAGTTATGTAATCCCCAAAATTGAGACTATTCTACAGGTAAATGCATATGAACCCACTATACTTGTGCAGCTCCTTGTGAAGCTTACACGCAAAAAAATTCCTCCGCATATTGAAAATTGGCACAATCTGTTATTTTGAATATTTCTGAAAGTGTCGTTACTTCTTTTCTTAACAAAAGGTTGGTTAGTACAGGACAGGACAACTAACATATACTTCAAATACTACAATACAATAGGAGCACAACACACGACTTTCTTCCGATAGAATATCAAATAG